CCATAACCCCTTTCTATTACACCTTATTTATTAATATATCGCTTATTTACTATATTCTTATCTTAATTCCCTGACAACAGTGATAAGAAATGACCTTCTGTTCTTGTTGTTTTATTGTATGTGTGTGTGTGTATGTGTGTATGATGTGTATTTCTTGTTTAACCTTTTTGATCTTTTGTTTTCATACATACATACATACATACATACATACATACATACATACATACATACACATATACATACATACATACATACATACATACATACATACATACATACATACACATATCTATCTGCCCTTCTTGTCTATTCCTAAACTTCAACTCATACCAATACAGACCAGTCCTCCTCTTCCTCTATCTCCTCCTCTTCCACCTCTTCCTCTTCCACCTCTTCCTCTGCCTCCTCTTCCTCTACCTCCTCCTCCTCTACCTCCTCCTCCTCTACCTCCTCCTCCTCTACCTCCTCTTCCTCTACCTCCTCCTCCTCTACCTCCTCTTCCCCTCTACCTCCTCTTCCTCTACCTCCTCTTCCCTCTACCCCCTCTTCCCTCTACCTCCTCTTCCCTTACACCTCCTCTTCCTCTACCTCCTCCTTTCCTCTCCTCCTCTTCCTCTACTTCCCTTCCTCTACACCTCCTCCTCTACCTCCTCTTCCCCTGCCTCCTCTTCCTTCCCCTCCTCCTCTCTCCTCCTCTTCCAGACCTCCCTTCCCACCCTCTACTTGCCCCTCCCCCTCACCCCCCGTCTCGTTGTACTACATGTTAGTGTCCCTCAACACACTGCCTCTACCCCATTTCCCCTACTGCTGACATGGCCATTTCCCATGACGACGATAGCTTCATGACGATACCTCCCTGACGATACCTCCCTGACGATACCACCTTGATGATACCTTTCTGACGATACCACCCTGCCGATACCACCTTGATGATACCTTCCTGACGATACCACCCTGACGATACCTCCCCAGAAGCCATCACTAGCTAATACTCAACCCACTCGCACGCGTCTACCACCTTCAGGTTCATTGCCAAAGTCGTAGGAGGAACTAAGATTACGTCTCTCTATAGTTCTGTATTGTGTGTCTATGTAGTTTGTATCTCTATGAGCACACATACACACACACAGACAAACACACACATACAATGATAATGACTTAAACAAACAAAACAATTACATAATGGCGCTATCAAGCCCAAACATGACAAGTATTATGACACCTCGTTAACCGAACTATCGACAGGTGTCCGGAAGACCTCTAATAGTGTCACCTCGAGTAAAGTATTGACACCCAAGTTCCTAGTGACTAAGTGAACGAAGAGAAGACTAAATGTTTAATATATCAACTAAAACGACCTTTAAGTTACCAGTGAAGGAGCAGGTAAAACATCACCTGAACATCACCTCCAATGGTCTATTTTCACCAATTAACGTCTAAAACATTACCTAAGACACACTTGTATTTTGAAACATAATGAGATATCTAATTCCATGTTGAAATGTCGATCGTGTTGCAGACAATATCATCCAATATGATTCTTATTATGGCACACACACACACACACACACACACACACACACACACAAGTAACACAGTAACACTACTCCACTGTCACTATGTTGAAATGAACTGTAGTTTGAGCTTTTCCCCATCTAGTTATTATATATCTTGTTGTATCACTTGTATTTACTTGTGTAATGGCTAACAGTTAAGAAACCAATTCTGATATGTAACTGTATATTTTCAGCCTTCTGGCTGCAAAGCTCTTTCAATAAACCGTTAATTATTATTATTATCTCACACACACACACACACACACACACACACACACACACACACACACACACACACACACAAATCACGAACGAACTCACGAATGTTTTTAATAAGCAAATAGCGTTTGGTCCAGCCTACATATTTTTCACCCCAAGGTCCGAGTTATTCGATTTCATGTTATTAAGTCCTAAATATATCTTCGTATTCCATTTTTACCTTTGGATGTAATTATGAGTTTCATATTGTGTTTAATCCGTCCAGTGAAAACCATAATTCCCTGAACACTTGGTAATACTCGTGGGTTATAGGTGATTGATTTTCATTATAAATTATACCAGAATAACAGCAACAAGGCGGTGTACCTCCTCTCCCTCAGTGGAACGGGAAGCCCCACACTGGTGATGTTATTTTCACTCTTCGCTCTTGCTTCATGAACCGATGAAGGTCCTACAAAGATTTGATTCATGACGTGTAAATAAAATTAACATCCATGTATATATTTAATGCGTCAATGATGTCATTTATCGGAGACACGTAATGTTATAGGAATCAAATGCAGCATGTCCCAACCCTCCACGAGGATTCTTTCTAAATTCATCAGGAAAAAAAATAACTTTCGATGATCATGACCTTTGACCTTAATCCTCCCAAGGATTACAGTACTTAATGTATACCAAACGTATTTCACCCACTACGTTTGGCCAGATTTGGTGCAGATAAGGCTGAGGTTTGGTTCGTTACATTATAGGTGATGGTGCAGACACACACATACACAACACGTCATTCCAGCACCTTGCTAACCTCTTCAGGGGAGGTAATTGGAAATGCTTGGAACTAATTAAGAGGCCATGAGGTAATCGGTAATTGTTAATTAATTCCGACGTTGAAATTGCATCAATTGATTAGATCCAATCATAAAATCCTGTCAGGGACACCGAAGACCAGCGCTGTGGTGCTCTACATGCAGTACCTCCCCTCATGGGTCACACAGCATGTCACTAATTCACTGCATGAATATATCACCAAAATGTTTTATGAAAAGAGAGAATTACACGTGAGAAAAACATTCCATCACTAGTTTTAAAATAACAAATTTATCCGCATAAAAACACAATGCCATGCTTATGTAAAACAAAAATTTATTTTCAGCCTTAGTCGGAATATATGGCCATGTTACGACACATATGGCCATGTTACGACACATATGGCCAGGTTACGACACATATGGTCAGATTACGACACACGTATGGCCAGGTTATGACACGTATGGCCAGGTTATGACACGTATGGCCAGGTTATGACACGTATGGCCAGGTTATGACACGTATGGCCAGGTTATGACACGTATGGCCAGGTTGTAACCATATGGCGGGTTATGACACGTATGGCCGGATGACACGGCTGGCCGGGTTATGACACGTATGGCCAGGTTATGACACATATGGCCAGGTTATGACACATATGGCCGGGTTATGACACGTATGGCCAGGTTATGACACGTATGGCCGGGTTGCCAGCTTTTTGTATGGCCGAGTTATGAAACTTGCGTATGGCCAGGTTATGACGTATGGCCAGGTTGCGCGGCACATATGGCCGGGTTATGACACGTATGGCCAGGTTATGACACATATGGCCAGGTTATGACACATATGGCCAGGTTATGACACGTATGGCCAGGTTATGACACGTATGGCCAGGTTATGACACGTATGGCCAGGTTATGACACGTATGGCCAGGTTATGACACGTATGGCCAGGTTATGACACGTATGGCCAGGTTATGACATGTGACACGGAGAAAAGTACAGCAACAGACCATTAGCGGATGTTTCTCTACTCAACAGAACAAACGGATGAAAGAATTAGACTCTCTTTAAGTCTTCACGTAAGCGGGGGATGGAGTCAGGTAAATAAAGCTGAGAGCGAGACCGTGTCAATAAACACCATTAGTATAAAACAACTCCTTGACACCCACCTACCTACCCACACGCCCATACACCCACACACCCATCTGCACCCTCGCACGCCCACCAACCCACCCACACCTGCACAAAAGGCTCCAGGGGGCAGGTGAGCGGCGGTGACCTACAAACAGTCATCGATATATCATAAACCGATAACAATTATCATATTAACCAAGAGCCGGTGGCGTGGCTCCCTGGTCATGTCACTCAACATCGACAGTCAATTACTTCAGTACATAACACTGATAACGAGTCACGAACGAGACTTGGGAGGATAAACATTAAGTTCCAGGAAAGGTCTTTTTTCTTTAAACCTTCAACCTCACGATTTGGGATATTGTCTTTAAGATGGCTACAAACATTTATAATTATTTACCATAAAATAATATTAAACACTGTAAAAAGCGTAATGTTGAAGAATGTTTATATAATCTGAAACGTAGTGGTAATCCCCAGAGACTAATTTAAATATTTATATGAACATTTCTGCACCCTCATAAAACTAATTAACACACAGAAAAAAAAAATCCCAGCACGAACTTTAACATCACTTCAAAACACAAGATAAAGAACTACTTACCTTTATCCATTACTGATTACTAACAAACACACAAATAAAACAGTATCCACGAAACACAAAAAAATAAACACAGCATAATGGATACTTACACGAGGAGCTGGATAACAAGATACATCCAGTCCAGTGAATCATTCCAGGAACTTGAAGACACAGAATTAATAAGAGTCTGTAAACATGATGAAGAACCTGATGTACAAGAGACGAGAGATTGTCGACGGAAACAGAAAGAAAAGAAGACAAAGAAACACACAAAGATACACGTAAATAAAGATAGAAAACTAAAAAAAAAAGGATAAATTAACAGACACTTAAACAGAAATGAGAGAGGAAAACGTCTAAACACATTCAGAAAGTAATAGAAGTAAAGAAATGAGATGTTTACGGAGATAGATAAAGCTGCCGATGAGTACATAATTAAGATGGATCAAGAAAAGTAAAGAGAAACAAGAAGCTTCGACTGTAAATGAAAATATAAACAAGAAAAATCAAGAGGAATCAAGAAAACAAAAAACAAACAAGAAGCTTCGACTGTAAATGAAAATATAAACAAGAAAAATCAAGAGGAATCAAGAAAACAAAAAACAAACAAGAAGCTTCGACTGTAAATGAAAATATAAACAAGAAAAATCAAGAGGAATCAAGAAAACAAAAAACAAACAAGAAGCGGGTACTCACACAGAAAAGTGGTAGAGGAAGCATTTCCATCCAGTTGGTCGCTCCAGGAAATTGTACACTCGGCCTTGGAAGGTTGTCTTGACAGTCTTGCGCTCCTTCATCACATAATGCGCTTCCCAGACGGTGCGAGCGTCCATAACAGAGGACACCAGGCCACCTGTAACACCCATGTCAACTTGTGTCAAGAGCCATCACGATAATTAGACCAAGATAATCCTCAACAAGATACATAAATAATCAGATAATCCTAATAAAATACAAAAATAATTCGATAATCCTCAACAAGATACATAAATAATCAGATAATCCTAATAAAATACAAAAATAATTCGATAATCCTCAATAATACATAAATAATCCGATAATCCTAATAAAATACAAAAATAATTCGACAATCCTCAATAATACATAAATAATCCGATAATCATAATAAAATACAAAAAATTCGATAATCATCAATAATACATAAATAATCTGATAATCCTCAAGAAAATACATAGAAAATCTGAATAATCATAAAACCAGATTTCCATAATGGGTTTTATTATTTACATGTTATAATCCTATGATCTACAAATCAAGAAATCTGAAATGTCTTACAGTAACAGGACTCTCATTTGACTTGTAACTACAATATATAATGACTTTGTTAACGTATAGCAACATTCTATAGCGCCAGATTTGTCCAGATTTCAACTTTATCCTAAATGTTCGCGTCATTCTCTTCTCTCTTGATAAATCTTCTGACCAAATCCCAAAATTTCTGATCGAATCCAAAATTTCTGATCGAATCTTAAATCTTGAAGTTGTAAAGTAAACCTTACTGAGATACACTGGGGCGTTCAGGGGACATATATAATGCCAATCTAATATTTGTTATATTTTCAAGTCCTTCAGTAAGTCAGCAACCTGGGTATTGTAAACCTCTGAATAGTAAAAAATTACAATTGAAAACGAAAACTTAGATGTAGGTGTTCAAGAAATTATTTGGGATCTTATGTACACTAATAATAATAGTTATTATTATATTGCACCCCCCTCAGGCCCTGATGTGGGTCAAGACCAGTGTGTCCAGGTGGCTAACCCCTGCTAAAAAAAAAAAAAAAAAAAAAAAAAAAAAAAAAAAAATAATAATAATATTAGAAAATTATATATATATATATATATATATATATATATATATATATATATATATATATATATATATATATATATATATATATATATACATATATTCAGGCTTACATATACACTATCTGGTAATTTAAGATTGAAGAATCATAGAATGAACACTGTGACCTCCTGTTGTCTCGGTAGGTTTATTAAAATCCTTCAGTCCGTTGTGTAATTTTTTCAACACAATTTTTAAGTAAAATTTTTTTACTCAACGTACATAATTGCCAAGAATATCTTTTTAATTTAATCATGAGAAAAATTGAATAGTGTATTAAACGCCGAATGAAATACTCGAGCGCTTATACATTATAATACTGGACACTATAACTGCATGCATAATTTGCAAATATCAGCAGTGTGTAATGTTGTGTTACCATATATAATAGGAAATACAGTATTATCAATATTTTAAACTGCACAGTAACCAAAAGAGATTATTTTTTTGTTTTTTTACATCATTACGGGAATTAAAGTCAACGATCCGCTACTGACAAATGCTAAGTTGAATAAATGAGTCTCATGATGATAAATATATGGAAAAATTAAAACAAATAATATAAACCTTACTTGATATTATTGGTTCAATGAAAAGACATAGCTGTTTTTTACCTTCCATGGTTCCAGGCAAAGAAATTAGCCAAATATTCACGCAGGGAGCATTGTTGCCCCTGGACTATTTCTCACACTAGCAGCCATATGTCTAGCTCTGGGAGAGATCACGGTTTTAGGAGGATGACTTAGGGAGCGTGCAGCCGTTCTTGTGGCAATGACAAGGTGCCATGTGCTCATAAAAATCTGGCGTTCTTCACCAAGGCACATGGCCAGGTGATTCAATTTTTGACTCCGAACCGAAAAAAAAATCTTACAAAATGGTAAAAAAAAAAATTATATATAATTAATATATGGAAATGAGGTCAAATATACGTGAGACTATATAAACTGAGGTAGGAAATAGGTATATAATGGCTATAACCTTCATGGAGGCTGGAATACCCTATACCTCAGCGTACATAACCTGTCCCTGGGCTACATGGGTTGAGATGGTACTGTTGTGTGTGTGTGTGTGTGTGTGTGTGTGTGTGTGTAAATATCAACAAGTTTCCGATAGGTCCTCAACTTCTGATCGTCACAGGATAACACGGAGGCAACAGAATGATAACTGTGTACTAACTGTGTGTATTAAGCGTTAATAGGTGTGGTGATGGTTGATGCCTCTGTGTCCTCCATCACCGTTAAGACAAATCACTTCCTGGGTAATAGTGTTTGTCCTTCACTGCCTCAACTTTCTTATGGAAGCTTTTGAGGAATACAAGGACCCCCCTCCCCCCACCAAGAGCCTGTATGTATCCCCCAGTTGTTATAAGATCACAGCAGGACCAAGTAACCCATCAGGAGCCTCAGGTCACGATATTTAACCACATTATATTATTTTAGATATATACAACTCGTGTAGGAATAAAAATAATAATAATGAATAAAAAAAACTGGTTCCAGCCAATGATGGATCCACATACGTCACCAAACACATTAATCTGTGAAGTTTCATAAAAAAAAATAATGTATATAATAGTTTTTCAGACATGGCTCTCAGGAAATGTAAAAATTTGGTGGAAAACAGAAAAAACATCAGACCACTAATTCTTTCAGGAGGATAATGCTAACACCAGCAGCCCTCATCCCTAGTGTGAGATATATTCATTGTCCGGTTTTAGAAATCTGGGTCTTAAAAAATAAACAATAACTCGGGCCACTGAGACTTAAACGTTCACTACTCTGGAGAATAATGTTATTTTTCAGACAAAATTTCATAAAATAATTATTAATCATTTCTTCGCCCGTAAATCTTAATAAAAAAATCAAAATAAATAAAATAATTAAATCCATTAACTGATTAAGTGAGTCACTAGAGTAAGGTGGTCGCTGTAGTGAGGTGGTTGCTGTAAAAAGGTGGCCGCTCTAATGAAGTGTTCGCTGTAGCCAGGGGTCACCGGAGTAACGCAACTATTCGATACCGCCAATTAATAACAAACTGAATCAACCAGAAAAAAAATCGCTATATATTCGAGTTGGTGGTGTAACAATATAGACCAATCAGGCTGTAGTAACCTCACTCTCATGCAGCGGCTTCATGGTGTAGCCTCAGCCCAGGTCTATCCACAAGCACTTAGGATCTATAGTTGATCAAAATTGGACCAGACTTAATAAAAAAAATATATCATGCAGAAAGTGTCAACCAAGCCGTTCAAAGCAATCATAATAAGGTTAATCAGAAGCCAGAGTGCGTGAGGAGTGTGCGTGAATCCCTTGTTGAATTAATTAAGGTACCTAAACTATTGTATGTGATAAATTCTACTAAAATTCCATCGAGTTTTTATAAGAATATTAAACTTTCACTAAAACCTTAATTTCGGTAATCACAAAATTCAATATATCTGCCATTGCATCCAAATTAAACACCGGATCCTAAGTAAAATTACACAAGGTTCTTCACGGACCATTTCAATAATATCAGTGTTAAAAGTTTCACGAAAATGTACGTTGTTATTTGAAAGGATATGCTGCAGTGTAGACGGCACCCCCCCACGCACGACAAAGACCATGACTATAACCAAGCCTAATCCAGCAGAGCAAAAAAAAACATGAACAGAACAAAAACATGAGGGTGTTAACTACGCTCATATGTTGCACCTCTGGTCTCTCAACTTTGCACTAAGGTCTTTTGCCACCTTTCCTCTCATCTCTATTTTTTTTCCCTATTGCTTTAAAAAATTATAATTATTCCCCCAAATTTTATCCCTCATCTTCCGTAACTCATCTCCACCTCACGTGTAATTTTCTCAACGGATTTCGTTTATAAAATGTGTGATGTATCAGTTGTTGTTGATAGACGGATATTGCAATGCAGTAAGGAAAAAAATATCGCTAAGAAAATCAAGTCGCTACCGAATGCAAATCAGGTCTGGGGAGTCACAAGATAGAGCGATAAAATCAGTGATGTGCTACAGTCAACTCTTAAGGTCCGTTCGTCTCTCCCCCTGAACTACGAACCCAGGAATTCAGACTCGTGGACCCGAAGCAGTAGACCTATACATTATTCTTGAGGATGACCTATTTCTCCTCTTTCGCAAGTATACGATATTGTACTCAGAAGATTCTAAGTCATCATTTCAAGGGTTAAGTTAGTTTAAGGGTTACGTCATCGTACCCAAGAGTAAACATTTCCAGACAAAGCTTGAGACAGGCGCTAAGTTTACCACATCAGTGTTACCCCCCCCCCCTCCCCTTCAGCCGTGTCTGGCCATGCGCTCACAAATAACAGTAAGCGTCGCTAATCACTACATAATGAAGCAACAGTCAACGTAACACTCCTGTAATGGCTGCTGAATCCTTGTGATGTGGAATAATTAAATGTATTTATTCTGTGGTGTAGTGTTTAACATGCTCGCCTCACAAGTAAGATAACCTGGGTTTGAGTCCCGAGTAAGGTGGAACTTTGCGCGGGTTCCATTATGCTACGTGTGTCTATATGCAAAGCAATGACTGGGAAGCTGAATGTAAACAGATTGGCTGATCATGTTCCGGAGAGAGTGGCTGACACTACTCGCTAACAGTCTGGTCCACCGCGGCGTCTCATGCAGCAAGTCCCCGGGGATGAGGGAGGTCTTCAACCACCAGCGGATGACTGATAATAGATGGGAAAAAATCTATTCCTCTAATAATTCAAAAACAACCAATTTACTTACAGATATTGGGAGTTCCAAGGCCTTTTGGAGTTTGAAGAGAAGAAATTTAGTAATTAATAGCTTAACATTAACCAAATTATCTAAGATGTAATGTATCAACAACAGAGTAAACAACAAAATTTAGTGAGACATTTTTGTTTAGAAGACTCAAGAACGTGGCAAGATAATGATTTAGTTTCTTAAGTTTAAGTGGAACAAATGTATAAACGACACTTACAAGGCAAAACGCATGCCAACA